TTGAGATGTCTGTGAATGTGCTTGTGCATTTCAGCAGGCTTTTAAGAATTGTTCAAGTACAGACTACCAGTTCCCGACTAGTGCAGTAAGAAGCTGAGTATTTAAAAGATAAATATGAATGAAATTAAAACATTACAAAATAAAATTAGTACTTTGCCTTTTATTTGCAAAATTAATTCTATTCTTTCTTGAAAGTATTTTTTTAGCTTAGAAACTTCGACTGCATTACTTTAAGAATTCAATGGTGAAAGAACTGCTACATTGATAAATCCAAATGAGGAAAAATGCACTGTGCATTATAAACAATACCCTGGTTTTATTATAAGATGCAGTTATTTTTGTTTTGTTTCCTTTTTTTTTTACCAATCTGCTGTTCACCATACCTACAGTACTAACGTTTACACTTGTGGTAGCCAAATTAGGGAGCAGTACTCCATTTTCTGCTGGTAAAATAATTTTACATAGTAAACACAAAGAATTAAAGTGGGAATTTTTTTTTTACAATCCTGCATTTTACTTCTGGAATTGTAACTTCTACCTAGTGATTCTCTCTGCAAAAAATAAAATAATGTTCCGTACTTGGCTGCAACTTTTGTGTAAGTGCAAGCAACAACTGCAGTATTTCTTTAGATGAACCACACTGATAGCTTTGCACTTCCTTGAGGCCTCTTCTCTTCTCGCTGAATGAACTCCAGGGAATGGCATCATGTCGGGCTTTCCAGATGGATTATGTGAAGCCATAGCTCAATGTCATTTTCAATAGCAAGGCTCATAATTAAAGGTCAAATAGTCACTTCATCTGCAATCAATCAATAGAAGAAGTACTAATACTAAGTACTAATCAATCAATGGCAAATGCACTAATAAAAGCCATGCATCAAATGTCCGCATATGTGTGTGCTCACATGTACTGTGCATATATGTGAGTAGGGAGAAGGAGAGCAAGAGAACAAAGTGTGGGTGAATATGCCAGAGGGCATTGTGAATACTATATTTATCTTCAGTTCTTGTAAGGACTATTATATCCTGTTTTACTCATTGACTGAAACACAAATAAACATTAGTTTTTCTGCATATGTGATGTATTGTATTAAAAAAACCTGCCGAAGCACCCACTTCTATGCAGAAATATCAGCTTGTGTTCCTAACTAAGGAACACAAAGGCACCTACCCTGTGTAATTTGTCCTTACACAAACATATCCTGCACTCTAATCTTGGAGACAAAAAGTGCGTCAACTGTTCTGTCTACAAAATAAAACCCAGCATATGGGAACAGCACTCATCTCCGTGCAGAGCAAGCACTTATTCATGGATTCAACAGTGGAAGTGGCAGTTGGCCTCATGAGCATGCACTGCATGGGAATTAGTTGGTTTCATAATATGGTGTGGGAGAAAGTGACTTACAAAAGTCTTCTCATGCCTCTCCTATTACCACTTCTGAAGCTTTAAAGCTGTCAGCTCTTCTCCCACTTTAGTCGGTGCCATTCTAAGCTCCCCAGGGAATGGGCCAGACATACCTATTTGGAGTTTCACCTGCCAAGCTGAGAGAAATCAGTTTCAAAGCGAAAGAACAAGTGTTGGGGGGTCATTCATACACTACCACTGGAATCTTGAAGACAAATAAAGCAGAGCTCCACAACAGATGTGAAACCAGACCCTTGCTTTCAGGCATTGTAATGGCAGAGGGAGAGGGAAAAGCTCTCTCTGCCACAAGCGAATGGAAGATTTCTCATTGCATGGTTTATATAGTAGATAAATATGGATATATGTTTATATGGATGAATAGAAATATGACAGAACAACAAAAGATGGCCAAAATGCCTATGTCTATTCCTGTTTCTGCTAAGATCAGGGTAGACAAGACTGTGCTGTGGATAGATTTAGCTGTCATTCAGAAATGTCTGATCCTTAAAAAACAAATTAGACCTACTCTGCTTCCACCTTCAGTGAAGGAATAAATGCTAGCTGCTCTGGTTAACATGTTTATATCATCAGCCCAGGGGCATGCCTCACTGCACTACAGCTCCCTATTTCCATAGAAATGTGTGTTTATCAGCTCGATTTTATCTGGACCTGGTACTAATACCAAAAAGAATAAAATACCAGCAGTTTCAAAGCAGCCAGCTTGGAACTGATACACAGCAGGCACACCTATATAGTGCACACACTGTAGGGGGTGCACACAAGAGCAGCAGGGCCCTAAGGCTTACCAAAGATGGGCTCCCAGGCACTGCCATTAAGAGCATTTCCCCATCAGGGATGGTGCTCAATTCAGGACATGCTGCTGCTGACCCCATGCAAGACGAGCCTGGGAGTCTCAAAGAAACCTTGACAAAGCTTAGCCCCAGAGATGGAATACAGCAAAGAGAGCAAAGGTCCCAACAACCCAGTGATCTCAGCACAGGTCCTGAGCAGTAAGGAAAAGTAGTGCAAAAGTGCAAAGCCCAAGTACAAATTACATCTTGGGACTAGCTTCCTAGGAGATAAACTTGCTTTCTATGAGACACCAGCTCTTCAAGGATAAAATAAAGCAGTCTGCCCTGAAGCTGACATACAGAACAATCTGTAGCTGAGAAACAGTCACACAATACCGCATTCCACCATCTACCCATTTCATTTCAACTTTCTCACTTATCCATGAGACAGCTGTATTAGGAGGGCAAAAGTATGTACGGTTGGGGAGAAGCTGTAGGAGTCCTTGAAGTCAAGGTGGCTAAATTGTTTTTGTTGGTGTGCTTGGGCAAACGAATATGCAAAATAGAAAGCCTGACTCACTGGGCTGTGCTAATGAGAGCAGTAACTTGGAATTGGGAAAAATGTGAGCCAGAAAGTCAAGCAAGCTAGGGACCTCAAACTAGGTTCTTCTAAAGGAGGAAATAAAATATTAAAAGGAGAGTATACTAGCAGAAGAAAGGTGAACCAACTCAGCTGTATAGGGTGCAGGTCAAGAAAGGCTACATGACAATGTTTGGTAGAGTGAGTAAAAGAAACAGAGTCCTCATTTTCTTCTGGGTGATGGCAAGCCCCTCTAGGACTTAAATATTAAAAAAGGGCTTTGTGCTTATCTTAGTGTCACAGCAAGCTGCAGAAGTATTCAACAGAGCGTATATAACTGTTTTCACTGGGCAGGGAAGACTTACATATTTGTGTTGTCAAGTACAACCAGCTTCTTTTCTGTTGTATCACGGTTGTGTACTAAGTTTATACACAGCTACAAATAGCAAGTACAGTAGTTTGCTATGACTTATGTGCAATGTTTCCTTCTATAAATAAAAGTGTAACTGTCCTCCTAAATACAGGCTCATTTATTAGTTGAAGCTTCAGCTTCATAGAACATCTGGCTGAAAAAGACCTAATGTCATTCTGTCTGTGTTCTGCTCCAAGGCAGGATCAACTAGCTAATTCCTGTCTGAGACTTACCTACAATGGTAGAAGATTAAAGTCATCAATAGGCAACATATTCCAAAGCTAAACTGTTTTACATTAGATGGGTTTCCCTGATTCTTAGTTTAAATCATCATCATTATAACAAGGTCCTTCCCTTTTCAAAGTCCACTGTGAAAGAATTACTTTTTGCCTTCTTTGCATCAACCCTTCATGCATTTGAAAATCGCTACTGTATTTCAGCTATCTTCTCTTGACAATCACCACTGTTTCAACCTTTCTCTGGGGTCACATTGTTGAGATCTACAATCATTCATGGCACTCTCCTCTGATCTCTTTCCAGTTGGTCCACGTAGTTTTCGAATTGTGGAGCCCAAAACGTCATGCAAATGTCAAAAGCCCTAATGCTTTCAAGCAATACAACTTTTGCTACTTATCTGCAACCCACAGGACCTTGTGTGAAAGGAAATCAGGTTAAAACAATTTAATTATTTGTTTCAGTAGTTTTCTACAAAATATAATTCCTCGTCCCCTCCTTGCCTCCATTGTGAAAAACAAGCATTATGTTTGTCTTCTTCTTGTCTTCCAGGAACTCCTTTCACTTCCCACAGACTTTCAAGGCCACTTGCTAACAGTTCTGTAGCACAGGCCTGGCTGAAGCAAAGAATCCTGAGATGAGTTCTGCTATATCAAACTGACTTGGAAAACACCTCACCTAAGTCCCGACTTGTTCTTCCCCTGTTTCAGGCTGAGTTCTTACCTTTGTTATTGACACTAACAAATAACTCTGTTTGATGGATACAGTCTTGAAAAGGCTTGTATCAGTCACATACACTTTATCAAACACATTTTCATATTTTGAAAACCAATAAGAAAATTTTCTTGTCATTTCACTGACTGAACATAATGGATAAGGCAGTAGCAGGTGGCTGTAAGCATAACTGATTTAGCAGTATTTTGTGAATTTCCATCAGAACATCTTCTTATCACCAAAGAGTCATAAGTGACAAGTATCTTGATCTCTTGATAAATGAATTCTAATAAATAAAACTATCCAGAATATCTGCAGACATAAATACAGACGTTTTGCTCATGTTAAGCAAAAGACAGTATTGCCTAGTTGTGGTTTCTGAATACACTACATGTTTTCATTTTCACTTGTACATCCCAGCCTTTGGATGTAAGATTTTACTGTGAGCCCTTCAAATTTTTCCAGTAACAAACCTGAAATTTTATCAATATTGGACTAGGCAACAGAACAGGGGAAAAAACAAAGAAAAACCAAGAAACCCAACCCCTCTGCCCCCAAAAAAACCCCCAACAAAACTACAGAAACCCAGAAAGAAAAGTCCAGCTTTCCATAAACAAGGTGGTCTTACTGTATAACTGCTAAAATCTCAGCTGAGAAGACCATGTTGTCTGCCCTGTAATAAGCATTTATTTTATCTGTGCAAGAATATTATCTTACGTTTCGTATCATACTGGTAGCATTACTTGTCACACTAAAACCGAACTCATTTAAGCAGAAAAGCCAGCAACCAACAACATCATTTTTCAACACAGCAATGTATGAGTGTTACTGTTGTTTTGCTCAAAAGCTTATCTCCTGACTTACCCAAGGTGAGGGATTTGTGTGTGGAACAGAAAATGATAGCCACTGTGTCTGCTGGTGTGAAACTAGAGTTATTCCTAGAAAAGAAAGAGTTTTAATAACCTCTGATAGCAAAAACCTTCTTAAAACATCATCAATCAAATATATTACTTTGAGGATCCATATGCACGTTCACTTCACTTTGATCAGGCCTAGTGACAGAAATAATTCTAAACACAAATGAACAGTAGCGTTTGATTATTTTTTTTTAAGCAGATTGTTTCTCAGTTGTGGTAAACTCTCTAATGAATATGCTGCCACGTGAAGGAGAGGAATTCTGAGCACATGGTATGTAGGACACAACTTTATTGCAGCCAAGGTTATTTCTTAAATGTGCTGTATCAGAGTAGTGGCCAGCTTGCCTCTATAACAAAACAGAATGACGTACAATTTATTTTCCTAGTATGTAATGTTAACAAAATGCTTAATTGAATCGTATATTGAGTCTACACTATGAGCACTCCTTAGTAGTTATCTTCTACTTCAGAGAAAAACTGCATCTAAGGGTTTACACACTGGGAGTAAGGCCAGGAAGGGTGTAAAAATTACATAGAGAGAGAGGTATGTGACTGGCCAATAGCTTACCCTTTGGTCCAAATTAGGGATCATTTTATGAGAGTCTAAGTATTTGCCAGACTGAGTTGGGTTACTACTTATGGCATTTTAGGTTTCACAGTTAGGACATATCATCTTCCCCCAGGTTAGGTCTAGCAGTCCAAAAGTTATTTTAAAATGCCTTCTAAGGTCAGAGTATGATCTTGTCACAGAGAAATTTTCTTGTGGCACTAAAAAGAACACAAGTAGCTTTAAGACACTGCACCCTTCTTTGTGATTCTCCATTATGGATATTGTACAATTTATATAAAGCACACCTCTGGAGTCTGCTGTATCGCAGCACTTCTCATTCAGCAGTGCTGCTAACAAAAATACTCCAGTAAGCCTAAGTGAGAGGACAGTGGTGGATGATCTGACCAGCTCAAGTGATCTATTTATTAGCCATTGGCTAACACCATTCTCATGGTACTATTTTTTGAGAAGTGAATGTACAACTGTTCTTCCTTAAAATTAAAAAAAAATAGCTCTACCAAACATTAGTTCAGGACAACTGTCTTAATAAGAATCACCATATAAACATAACAAATCTGACATATACAGAGAAGAGTGAATTGCCAGCCCAGCAAATGTATCTTGAGATGTATAAAGTCAAACTGAGTTCTCTCTCTCATATGTCATCAGCATGTCTGCAGGGCAAATTATACCTTCAGTGACATCTGTGCAAATCCATTTTTTTCAGTGGATGAGGTATAGCAGTGATTGATTGAGATTTAACAACTCTGTAATTAACACACAAGAAAGGACAGAATTCAGGTCCTGCTCTCTTAGCCTATGAAACTCCAACAGAGAAAATGCAGTAAGGACAATATGAAATACCAAAATGAGGTCACCCCTATTCAGAAACCTGCTCTTACACATTTGCATAAACTGTATCACCCAAACCAAAGATATCACACAAAACAAATACTCAAAAGGTTCTGATTCAGCACATTCAGTTACCTTGTAGAGAAGATGAAAGTCAAAAACATGAAGCTCATCTGAATGGAAAATACTGAAAGAGAAACACACTAAAATTAGACTTAGATTGCAGAAGTAAAGATCACTTAAATCTCTTCAATTGCTGCATACATGCCTTTTGCCCCCATACAACAGGTCATAAAGCTAGACCGAACCAAGGCCAAAGAAATTCAATAACAGACAACCTTTAAATACTGTCTGGAAGAACAATACATATCATTACATCTGAGGAAGCTAGCTAATATCGGGGCCACACAAGTTCTTCCTGAGCTAACTCTTCTGATTCAAATACTTCTTGACACAATGAATAGCAGCGAAGTTTGCTACTGCATGCTGCACATCTGTTTGCACTAGTTTTGCTTATTGAGTTGACACATGCTCTGATGCTCAAGTATTTAAATTTAGCCCCTTTCCGTTTAACAGGAGAAAGTACAGTGTGTAAGCATGATCTGACCATAATAACTATTCTCACACACTGGGTATATTACTCTCCCAATGAATGATCACAAAAAAACAAAGAGAAGATCATCACAGATGTTTTCATTCTGAGACAAAGGCTAATTCCTGAACTGGCCAGTGTACATCAGACAAAGCAGCTTTCATTCAAGCTCAGTCAGCTTTAAGAGTGGATCGTTTTTGAGCATCCTGAGGGGAGCTCTCCTTTCTGCCAGCTCTCCCGACACCTGCAGGCATTGTGGGATGCACAGAGCCCACACTTGGGTAGCTGCTGGGACTGCAGACACAGAGCATCATGCCAGAGCACAGGAACTCCCCACAGAGCTGGAGGAGAAACCCCGTGACCCACGCAGACCTTTCCAGGGTGCTTGCAGGTTATGGGAGAAGGGCTTTTGCTTACAGCCCATCTGGGGTGCAGCCTCTCCCTCTTCCTTGCAAAACTTGTGAATGCAATAAGGCTAATGTGTCCCACAGGGTAGTGCAGGCTAAGACAATACATTTGATTTTGACCCCAGTTTACAACTGGGAAACATGGCAGGGATATTAGCTATTACCAGTGACATTTTCTGTTCTCTTACATACATTTCCTAGCATGTATAAATGTCACCTCAGCATGCACTTACTTCTTCCTCCATGAAGCAATCCATTGTTCATGAATTACAATTTTTCTGCAACTAAGTACATTAATTTAAGATGCATAGGAAAAAAAAATCCCTTAATATGTATAATTCTGTAAAGCAATAAGCATGTGTTGCTACCAATTACCCCTTGTGTATATTTTGCTGTGGCTAGAATATGAACATAAAAATTACATAAAAACATTAATCAGCAGAATCATAAATGCAGTTTTATCTCAAACTCTTCGTGCTAATCCATGTTCACAACTTTCCTGTTTTCTCTGTTTTACAAATATTTGAGAAAAAAACCCAAATGTCTAATATGTTCCAAGCAGTTTCAATGCTTATGTTAATATTCTTACTAAGAAATTCCAGTTATGCACACTAGGAATGAAAATGTATATAGAATGATTTTCAGTGTATTGCACTGCAAGTGGTATATGTAATTACTCATGACACAAATGCAGAGTTGTCTTGCAGAGAAACAAAAGGATGGACTAGAAAGGCGGTGGAAGCAACCACTCTACACCAACTGTTCAAGGCAGAACATGCCTTTTTAACTAAAAAAGAGTATTTTTTTCCAAAGTAGCAGTCAGTACAGTAACATAAAATGATTTCATTCTGAGTTCCTCTGCATGTTCAGTTGGAGTTGAAAATATCCATATCCCTCTTTTTTTGCTGACAACTCTGCACTGATTTAAGTGTACTCGGGATGTGGCCCTTCTCAGGTGCCTATGCAAACACGTATTTTCTTCATTTTGAAAAAACCTCCTTAGCACGGCTTCCTTCTGCTTTGCTTTCAGCATAAAGTATTTATACAGTACCATTTACAAATCCATGTAGTATTTTACACACGTATAGTGTTTCAGAATCCAAAACACTGCCACAATTAGGATAGAATAAGAACTGATCCACAAAGGGCAGGGACAAATTTGCTGCTTGAGCAGAGGTCAGTTATAGAAGGTACATTATTTTTATTAGACAGAAACGTGCATATACACACACTTCAAGGTAGGTGACACATTGATTCTGTGAAATCCGACAGCTTTTGAGTGTATGAGATGTGATTTATACTGTAGTTACCTCTCCCCCAAGCAAATTGAAACTCCTGTCTCTGGACAGTCTGAAGCAAGATGGGAATTCCCTACTGGGAGAGGAGACAGTGCCTGTATACCCCTGCTTTTCTCTGGGAGGTAGTGATCTGCAAGTATATTTTTAACTGATGGCAAGGATACCAGCAGTCTATTCTCATGTGCACGTTATTCAAGGCTGGATGACTAGAGTGCTTCTAAAACAAGCTCTGCAAGAAATGCATTTTTCCACAGAAATATATCAACACATGCAAACTCCCAAGTAATTTCTACGTTTATAATCATATATATATCCATAGAATACCAGGTTGGAAGGGACCTCAAGGATCATCTGGTCCAACCATAATATGGTACGGAAGAACGATTTAAAAGTTATAACAGTGCTTTTGAGTAACAGCTCAAACCCAAATATTTCCTTTCTGACTGGAATGCAACATCTGTGCATTTATGGCTGTTTAATAACAAAGAAGCCGAAACAGAAGGGTTGCAAATACTTGGAAAGTAGTACTATACCCCTTGACAAAGGAAGTACCACTGAACAATCCCAAGCACACATAAACAGCAGGGTTTATCCCTCTCTAAATGCTTACTCAATCCCCTAAAAGCATCCAGTCCCTAAGAAGGCTGTTGATCTGATTTACTAGAGGCATTAAAAGTACAAGCTCTAGCCGCATGCCAGCATCCCTGCAGTGCCACCATTTCTAGTATATATAGCTCATTATACACCTGAAACACAGATAAAAGATATGCTTTAAGGCTGAACTTACTTATGAACACTATTATAATCAAGCTAAATTTATCAAGGTCAATATTTGGATTGGCGAAAGTATCACAGAACGTTGTGTAGATGATCATCAGGAGCACGCAGCTGCTGATAGCGCCAAATGGAGGCTTCTTCCTTTCAAGCCAGTCCTTGATGTATCTTCGGACAATCTGAAACACAGAAACCAACAGGTTGCCTCTTTTCAAAGATGCAGGGAGCCAAGTTGGGCATCACAAAGTGAATCTGACAGCGGAAAGACACAAAGAGAAGAGAGTAATTTGGATGACGGCCACAGTGGATTTCAAAGCTTCCCTGCCACACAACTCTTCTTCTGGGGAATTTAACATTTGTAGTGCAACTTCCACTGGGCGTCCATAATGAGAGTATATTTTCAAGTACATTCAAATCCATCCTTAATCATGCCAAATGTTCTTTGCTAGCTGTCACTGAGACATACCCATTAAGCCTCCCCAAAGTTTATCTCCTCTGCTGATACTAATGGATGTATGTAATTATCACAGTCCCCTTTGCATCAACAGACAATTCCAAGTGCAACTTTGGGAATCTTAAAAATCTGACATCTTCAGGAATTTCATGATGGTAGATAATCGAAAGTGATCCATGGAACATTTTAATATTTAAATAGCTAGCGATGCACCAGAAGTTTTTAATTAAATTATAACTCAAGCTTGAAAAGCAAAAGTGCATGTGTTGTGGGAGTTTAAATAATTCAGACTCTGAATATCTAGAGTTTTTGTAAATCCAAAGACAAATGCCACTTGCACGCTTTTAGAATACCAGAATTAACACATGAGAACAAGGAAACCTACTGTACTTAGTGGAACTTTTGCACTTTCAGGAAACAGGATTTGAAGCTGTTTTTCAAGAATTTTTTAGAAACAACTATAAATTTTAAAGTAACCACTACTTTCAAATTATGCCAAATACTACAGGACTAAGCCTCAGTAGATACAATGCATCTATTTCAGTCCTGCCTGGGGAGTTGCTTTTAGCTTTTCTCTTTACTTTATATGGCTTGAAAAAACTTTTTAAAGCTTTTATCATACAGCTGTGACTTGTGTTAATTTTTCAGCAATCACATTATCTTGCCTAATTTCTCTTGAGACCTGATGCTCTCTGTTACCATGCTCTTTCAGAAATAATAGTACAAGATCCTGAAACACTTCTACCAGAGGGCTCTAAAGGTGTCTCGTTACCTTCCCATAGTGGTACCATTAATAAACAGCACCACTATTGGTTTAATAATACAGAACATTTTAGAGGTATTCAAGATTAATATCAAAGCATCATCACCAGTGCTACCACAGGACCTTTTCGCACACTAACTGCCAAAGCTGTGGGATTGACCTCACAGCTGCCAGTTTTCCTCTCTGCCTTCCCAGATTGTTTGCAAGTCTCTCAATAGGAAAGTCCTGGAAGCAGCTATCCCAGCCACCACAGCAAACAGACTTCTTCGACCACGTGGCAGGGCACATACTAAAAATCTGGCACATGGGGTTCACACAAAGCTAAGCAGGCTAAAGACCAGCACTTACCTCTCAGCACTGCTAAGCTTCCCGCTGATGAAAAAGAATATATTTACTGGAAACCACATAAGGGAATGCTCAACACCCCAGTGAAAACACTCAACTAAAATTTCACACTTGCCAGATGTTAAAGAGAGAACACAACTCAATATACGGCCAAACTTTTAAAAGTGCAGCACCTTCAGGCACCTCTCTCTGCATAAGCTATTGGGTAGGAATAAGAGACTACGCTGATGAAAGAGGCAAGAAATCCGAGTGAGGACATGTAGCAGGCAGTGCGAAAGACATCAAATGGGAAACCAGATTAGTCTAATCTGAGCAGATTTGGGGCTCAGTATCAGAAGCAAAAAGCAAAGTCTTTCGCCTCTAAAGTGAGTATTTTCTAAGGAAGTTTAAAACAAGCCCTATTATCCCCTAAATTAAGGTCACATTGGGAAAAAGAAAAACTACTTGAGACCACCTATTTATTTATGGTCCTTCCACAAGATTATACTGAAAGTAACGAAATGTTGAAAAAGAAAAGTGATGGTTAATTATGCCACAGTACAGCTTATACTGGAGGGACTTATTTCAATAACTATAACCTTGTGCCTGTACAAGGTATAACATACATGACATTAATAACTTTATACATATATTTATCATGACATATAAGAGAAAAAAAAAAAAAGATTTACAAATGAAACTGCAAAGCAGTATTTCCTCAAAATCTTCTATCAGCTGATATCCTCCTTAAATATTCACCCCTAGTATGGAATTACTGTGAATCAACAACCCTAAATACCAGTACAGCTTTTTACTGCATACTGTATTAAAAAAAAAAATAATAATTACATAGATGGGCCCTGAAGAATTCAATTCTGGCTTCAGGAAATCATCTGATCAACCCAGTGTCATGCTAAATGTATACTGTAAAAACACAGACAAAATACATCCTCTCTAACAAAGAATCCAATACCTTTTGATCTTCTCTCAAGGTTCAAGAAGATCTGTAATTCAGAGGTTGAGTCAGCCTGTGGTCACTGATTCAAGGTAATCTAAATTCTTGTATAACTTAAGAAGTGAGGAATATAACCCTACAGGTATCCGTAAACACTCGAAAAGATTTTTCACAGGAAAGCTCATGTCAGCTGATTCACTTTGACTGGAAAACAACCCATTTGTAACTTATTCATGCCCCACAGAGTTCTTTCAGGACAAGGATGCTTTGGCAGCCTTTTAATTCTATCCCAGTTCTATAACTTCTCAGGGTTAACACTGAACTAAAAAAAAATTTATAAAATTGCAAAGATTTGTAGTGAAATAACAATAAATCACACAAATATAATAAAGACAACACACAATGAAGTACGTAGCCAGCCAGACAGCAAACCTTGTTGTTCTGTGGTGCTGGCACACTCTGACAGGAAGTCTAATAGAGGTTGAAAAGCGATGAGCAATGCAGAGTGAAATGATTAAATAAAGTATCTCATAGGTAATATGCAGCCTGGGCAGAGATATTAAGCTTCATTTGTCTGCAAACACAGCCAAAGCTAATACAATCATTTCTGCATGTTATGGCCTGTACGAAGGATGCCAGACTCAGGCTCCATGCTGATGTGCCACCTCTCAGTTAAAATAGCAAAGTCCAGTGTTTTTAAGTACATATCAATATAACGGGGGACAAAGGAGGGACAAGCACCGGATAAAAAAGTGGTTGAGAAAATGTCTGAACTGATACTTCTGTGAAAAGTGAACTTACAGCCTAGGGAAGATATATGAATGACTGACACCCAAAATGGATGCATCAGAATGGCACACTGATGGAAAAGAGCAAAAAGGGGATGTATTTGGTTTGCATGGCAGGGTTTTGGAGGAGTGTCTTCTGTGAGAAGATGTCAGAAGCTTCCCCTTTCTTTGACAGAGCCAATGCCATCTGCAAGATGGACCCGCAGCTGACCAAGGCCAAGCCCCTCAGCAACGGTGGTAGCACCTCTAGGATAACAGTGTTGTGAAGGGAAAAAAATTACTGTGCAGGAGAAATTGCAGCTAGACAGAAGAGTGAGATTTTGATGTAGATTCAAATACTAGCCCCAAAGAGCTGGGAATTCCTGTCAGCGGACCCAGAGGTTGCACATGAATGAACAGTGCACGGTGAATCCTTTCTTCAAACTGTAATTTAGTGGAGAGAAGATAAGAAGAGAAGCAAGACCTTGTAGTACATGATATTTCATAAAGAACTTGTTGGAACTAGATGTTCTTAAGGTCCTTTCCAACCCTAACCATTCTATGATTCTACGAAAGATGGTGATAACCTCACAGAAAAATTAGATGATAAAAGGATATAAATGTGTCCGTCAGGCAGCTACATCCTGGTGACTACGTCCTGGCTATCTCCAAAGTTTTTTGGAAAGGCATCAGCTCAAATTTGCTTCAAAACACAGTTCCAGGCTCAAACTTTCCTCTTGCCCAGGATTTAATTTTTAACAACAGAGGAATGTAACAGAGGAATTAACAGTAGTGTCCCCATTTCAATTTAGTTCTTCTACCAGAATGGTTACATCCACAGCATTTCTCATCCAGATTGCTCTGTATCCTGCCCTAACCTCCTTGTCTGAACACCAGCCTTCCTAAACAAATGGACTTACTGTTCATATGCTTAATTCACTTAACATCCCCTGCACAAAGAAACACAATCGGCTGTTCTGGGAAAGCAGGTAAATAATGCTCATCTGTTATAAAATCATACAGGAAAATAGCAGAAGATACATAATAGAAAAACAATTCACTTATCTAATTGTACCTTCATAACAGTCACACTGCATACCCAGAGAAATTTGTCAGTAAAATACAACCAGACTCTTTCCACCTGCCTGCTCAAGTGCTGGACATGCGAGATAAAAAATGCAATAAACAATTATCATTCATTAATGTTCATTATTAATTGACCTAAATAAGACAAGGAGCTCCCCCACCCCCATTTATATGGAATGGAGTAATTTCTGACATCTATAATACAGTACATCTTTTAAAAACTATCTAGATCTTCAACTTGTGGGTTTTGTTTTTGTTTGTTTTAAACCCCATAAAATAAAATAAATTAAAAAAAAACGGGAGAGGGGGAATGGTTTTGAAGTCACTTTTTCCATTTCCATTATACACACAAGAGTATCTCTTGGTATTTACATCATTACACAAAGTCAATTTTTCCTTATTCTATAAACCCTTTTGGACTGGTTTAATTTTCAACAGAACTTACAATGCTTTTACTGCATTTCTGCTCCTCTTGTTTAACATGTATAGGTATGTACTTCTAAATACCTGGGAAAAACACCTGAGGCTTTACCATTTCAATGAAAAAATGAATGTTGACACAAGGAAACAAGCTAAAACTATGCTGGATAATCACTACACCTAAATTCAGTAGTTACCTTATTTAATTTGTCTTTTAAGGAAAGATTCCTAATTCATTCTTAACTAATATTACTACTTACACCAAGAGACCTTTGTAATGTACTTGGCAATGCAAAATTTTCTCTTGAAAAGCTTTGAGTCAGGCTAGATATTTGCAACAGTTCAATAACTTCTCAATATCCCTTATTATACAGTGATGGCAAATCAAGACAGACAACTGCATGGAATAC